GGGCTCTGGTATGAGTTCTCTTGGCAAAATTAACAAACCTGAATTTGCCACAGCTCCTCTTTCGCCTACCAAAACAACTACCCATCAGTTCCAAACTAATGGGTCTGATCATGAAGAAGACAATGCACCAGAAACATTGGAGGTAGCAGATGAAGAAGATACTCACATGGAGGAAGATACAACCCTGGATGACACAAGTAACTCTCCTTTAGATCAAACCATTGTTGTTGATGATACTGAGGCAACAGGGGGAAAAGACGTCGTCGAGGATGAAACCATGCATCAATCAGAACTGGATGGTTCTAGTGATGAGGGTACTGGTGAGGAAATGGAAAAAGATCAAGCTGATGATGGCCAGAGTGAGGAGGAGAAGCTTGATGGAAACCCAATCGACGAACCTGCCCCAGTCGATGTGACTGTTACTCCAACCGTTTCTGCGGCTAAGGAGGACGAAACAGTGCCCACCAAAGGTGAGGCAAGTCTTAATAGTGCAGAACTAAATGCCCTGAAACTCACTGTCACGGTGAGAATTGGATTTAAAATTATTAATTAATTTGAATCTTAATTCATTGGTTCACCACCGGTCTTTAATTTGTCCAAAGGAGGGGAAAAAGATCGAATTATTCACAATGCAATGCAAATGCAAAAGCTAGAGAGTTTAGGTCGGGGGTTGGTTAAACTTAGGAAAGGTGCTAGCATCCTAAGTTTCTATAGTACTCTACAGGAACCTCTTGTGTTAATGTGTTTATTGCTAAGGGTTATCTGCTTAAGGGTGAAAAGACCTAGTGGTTTATTTCTAAGTATACTCGCTAACACGTTGCATCTTGTGCCTACATATCCTGGCGGGAATGGAATCAGAGTATTTGTAGTTCCCCTAAAGGGTTTGAGGAACCATTGAATGTTGGTCAGAGTTCCAAAGGGACAAGGTTTGTTGATTGATTGATTCTAGGAGAACAGACAAGTCGTCATCTTAAGGGAGAACACTCGACTTAACCACCACAACTTGTAGGAGATGGTCTTTGCACCGTCTTGAGAGAAGGGCTCAAACACTCGGATTTCATCGACGAGTATGCCAGTATCTCCCTCAAGCAGAAAAGATCTTATATCTCGATTGTATTATTATGAGGCAGGAGGTTTATTTTTTGACTGTCAAGATGACTAACATCTTATTCTCTAATGGGAGAATAGTTTGATTGAGTTGTATGGTTTATCTAAGTTGTAAAGATAAAAGGTCCTCCTTATGGGGTAAGATCTAAACTTAAGGGATCAACTTGAAAAGGATCAAGGATCGAGTGGGGAAAATGATGCAAGATGAGATGCATACACACAAATATTAAGTCATGCGCAGATTCTTCCTTTGGACATTATGCGATGCGATATAATAAAGATGATAAAAGACAAATAAATAAATCCCATACAAACAGATAAAAGCGCATAAAAGATAAGCCAAGTGTGCGAGTCTTGAATATTCGAATGTGAGATCAGAGCTAGACGGAATGAAGCGTCGCGTTGATTAATTATGGGTGAGATTGATTTTATGAGAAATCATTAGGAGATGAATTAGTTTTTTTAGTAAAAGGATTCCTAAATAAGGGTTCTTTTATATTTATCTTATAAAATTAGTTAAATATGAAATGTTTAATTATTAAAGTTAGTGGATTAATTTTAAGCAAGATTGAATTAATTATAAGTTTTTAAAAAAAAGGGTGGTGGGAATTAAATAAATTCTAATGAGTGATTTTCATATATTTTATTAAATTAAATGAAAGGTTCATTCTATATAAGAGTAGTGGTTATTATTAGAGTTAATGGTTATTATTAGTTATTATAAAAAAGGTTATTATTATAATTCAAGTTATTTAAAAAAAAAGTTTTTATAATTAACGTGGACAAATTGATATTATTATTATTTTTTAAGAAAAAGGTAGAAGTAAATAAGAATCAACTATTAAAATACTCTTATTAAGATAAAAAATCTGGTTATTAATAAGGTTAATTAAGAATTATCAAGAGATTAAAAAAATATGGTTTTAATTAGAATTAATAAAAAAGATAAACCAAAACATTAATTAAATTGTTAAAAGAGATTATTAATTAAGTTATTATTAAAAAAGGATAATTAAAAGATGCAATTAATTAATTAAAATAAAATAAATATTAGTTCTAGAGGCTGATTTAAAAAAAACTAATATTAGTTAAATAGTTAAATAAAATGATTATTTTAATAAAAGGGTTAATTAAAAGGTTAAGGATTAATTAATGGTTAATTGGGGAAGTTAAACGGTTAAAAAGAAGATTAAAAGGGAAGGGCGGATTATTGGGTGCGTGAGGGCACATGGGATTACGGTAGGGACACGCTGCGGTGCGTTGGATCATGATCTGATGCAGATCGTGTGGGTGCATGCGTGAGGTGCAGGTGATGTGTGTGGGGTGAAGTGTACTTGATTATTACATACAAAAATAAAAAACAGAAAACCTAAATCACTACAAGAAAAATGATGGATTGCGACGGTTATTTTGGCAGGTTACGACGGTTAAAACCACCACCAATTACATTTTACGACGGTTGTAGTACCGTCGCAGAAACGTGTGTCCCCAGGCTGTTTAGCGACGGTTGAAAAAACTGTCACACACAACCGTCGTTATATTTCACGACGGGCTTGAACTGACCTAAACTGGAGATAGCGACGGTTAAAGACCGTCGTTACTAGCCTTTTGATTTTTATTTTCATTGTTGATTGTGACGGTTTAAAACTGTCGTGAACTCTATTTCACGACTGGTTGGAACTGACATAAATTGGAAATGACAACAGTTAAATACTGTCGTGAATATCTTTTTGATTTTTGTTACCATTGTTGATTGCGACGGTTTAAAACTGTCGTGAATGTGATATCTTGACGGTTCATTATTAATTTTTATATATTGTATTATATTGTTTTATAATATATTCTTTTATTTAAATTATTATCTACTAAAATAGTTATATTATTTTTTCTTTAAATTATTTATACAATAATATTTTTATTTATAGTTTCTTTTTTAAAATTTTCTATCGCTTTTTAGCGTAGTAAAATTAATTTCAAAACTTAATATCAAATAAACATTATAATATCAAAAAAACGTGAGTTTCATAATCATGTAAAATGAAAGTTCCATAATCATGTCATGTAATACAAAAATCCGAAAACATATCAAATTATAATTTTATAACAATAAGTATCATTGTGCCAAAAATGAATAAGAAGGTTCATAATTTATAGAGTTCCGAAAACTGTTGATGGGATTCCTCCAGCTCCTTTGACAAAGATAGTATCTGCTTCTTTGCTTCTTCAATCTCCTCTTCAACTTTTCTCTTCCATGACTCCGATGTGCTAAGTTGATCCTTAGCACTTTTCAGATCTTCTTGAAGCTTAGCAATCTGAGATTCCAGTTCCTGAACCTTGCTAGGTCGCTTCTTCTAAAGCCAGATAAAAGACACATTACCGAGACAATAATTAAATATAATTATGAATATTATAAAGATTTGGATTATGTGTATGCATATAGATAAAGATAGTACATGAAGAACTTAAAAAAAAAAATTTGTAAGGTATGTGAAGAACGTAAAAAGAATTACGTCTCTTATGTAGAAAATTTATGTTCCTTGTACTTGTGTCTATTAAAGTTCAATGCAACATTAATTATTGCAAAGAGAGACAAATAATTTCATCAAAAGTAACAATAATTATTGATTTGTAAGTGGAAATAATTTTGAAACAACAAAGAAAACAGAGGGAGTGGTATCTATCATCAAGGAGATAGTCATTAGCAATAGTAGCTCCTTAAGACAAATCGAATTAAAGCAGCTGATTCAGATCTAGCAGTGAGACAATTCGAAATACCTCAGATATTGGACTGTGTGATAACATGCGTTCATTAACTTTTGGACTCATGTATTTTGGCATCTTTCTTATGGGGTTTGAAGAGGAGGAGGCTGAGTTAGAACCAGAGTTTGGTGTCTTCAACTGGCGAGCTGTTCGAGGGGTTGCAGGAGATTTCCTTTGTGACATTTCTAAAGCACTAACTTTGTCATCCATAAACAAATTAGCATGCATAAACAAAACAAATGCATAAAAAATGCGAATCATAGTCATCTTCAGATAGCACACATAAGTGGTCCAGTGAGGATAATAATCAATCAAATGGAAGACGCTATGCAACACTATTTTTCAATCAGCTCCATTCATTCATACACACGATACAAGCCGAATATCATCACATTTTCAAACTTCAAGTAAATGAAACAAAAACATGGGACCACACAATCTTACTTGATCTTGGAATGAAATATGGAGGGAGAACTTTTTTAAAGAAACCAAATCTACACCCAACAACATAAATAACCCCTTCGCAAGCTTGTTTTAACAAACATACATAATATAATAGATACAGAACAATCTATTTGCATAAAAACTGTTAAAATCAAAATACTACAATCTTACCTTGCTTTTGGTGTCTGCATAACTTAATATCTCCTATTCCTCCAACAAGAAAGAATCTATGATTAAGAAATAAAATAAAATAAAAAAGAAACTTAATTAACTCATTATATAGTACTAGAAAAAGCAATTGTTAGTAGCTAATGATTCAACAAATCAACATTCAACAAAAAGAAAAAAGCAACAAACAAAAATGTATATAACAATCCCTTCAAAGAAACTCCTTGTAAACAAACTCCACTACACCAACTTCCTTTTCCATTTTCCTTCAAGTTTCATTTTGAACTCAGAAAATTCTAGATCTACAAGTAGTAGTACTTTGAAAACAAAGCAACTTAACAGAAGAAAATAATGCAGAGATTCTGGTCAAACACCATTAAATGCGAGCTACTATGAAAACAAAAACCAGCATTAACGAACTAACTAACCAACCACAGCAATAAATAACCACTGAAATGTACGAACTACAGAAACTTCAATGATGAAAAAAAAATTACCAATCAAACGGATTATTCAGTGGTCTAGTCCTGAACAATCAACACTTCATTATTTCCATAACTCCAACATCTACGCGCACTTGAAATAGTAATAACAGCAAAACCTTCAGCAAGACCGTGAAGTACAAGCAACCGTTCTTCAGGCAAACTGACACAATCAGGACATTCAGACGATTTGTCCCAAAAGTTAATGGCTTTTCCATTACATCCATGAGCAAGAAAAAGAACACCTTTAGGTGATTCAGGTACTTGCCATATCAAATCTGTTCCATTCCTGAACTCTCTTGTGGGATGCAATTTCACCAAAGAATCAAAGCTATTCCACTTTTGCTTATGAGAATCATAAGCTAAACTTGGTTTTACTTTTACTTTGACACCATGATTATCATTATCATGAACATTATCAAATACTAAAAAGAGAATCACTAGCATTAGCATCAATGTAAAAGACATAACAAGTACTTGGATCCTACAAATGTAACCACTAGCAGTACTACTACATTGCTTTGATTTGTATCCATTATTATTCAACATGGTGAAAAGGGGTCCATAACAGGAAGGGAAAAAGATCAAATTTTGATCAAAATTTCTTGACAGAGGATGAGTAAACTATAGAGGGTCAATGGCATATAATCAAATTGATCATTGAAATGAAAGGGAGATTATCTAGAATTGATTTTCAAAAATATGAATACTCACATGGAATCATGAGTGAGTTTGATGGTTAAGCACTTGTTTGTTAGAATCTGAATTGAATTGGATGGATTAATCACCGAAACTGAGTGCTATAATTGAAGTGTAAGGTTTGCGGTTACATGATGGAATTGAAGGTTTGCGGTTACTTATGAAGAAGTTGAAGCAGCAACAAATGGATTTTCATTGAAGAACTGTCTTTTATGTGTGAACTTCTGTCACGGATGATGAATTCCTCATAAGTCCATGATTTTGTCCTATAAATCCATGATATCTCTCCCACTGAGAAATTTGGAACCACCTTCAATTCCATTAAGACATATTAAATGGCCATAACCATTGCAATGAATCACACCATGTAACAGATGACTTTGATTATCTAAAGCTTCTCCGTTTAACGGTTTATGCCACGCGTTGTCCATTGGAATTATAAAACGGTTTCTCTGCTCTGCAAACTTCTGAACAAAAAAACTGATGCTTCGTTGAAGCAACTTGCACCTAACGTCGAAATGAAGACAATAGCGGTGATGATGATGGTGGTGCAGCAGAAAAACACGATCCCCTTAGGTGTATGATACCATGTTAGATGAGAGAATTCATACTTCATTGGTGAACATGATTATGCATGAGGAAGATGATGGACATGCATAAAGTAATTCAGGTTTAGCTTGATACTTTTGTGATCAATTCATGTTATTAAATAAGCCTTATCTTATGAGTATCTATACAAAGTAGTTAGGCGATGAAGTTAGTTACATTCTTAACTACCTTCATACTTGCTCTAACTAACTTATGCATGCACACAACTAACCTATGCATGCATACAAACTAACCTATCTACATCTATCTCTAATATATAGATACCAGCATTCACTCCAGTCATAACAGCAAAGTGCCGAGCCTGAATCAAAGGACCTCCAGCAAGAGCCTATAATAAACAAATCAAAGAAAAATTATCATTTATTACAACCTGTGAAAAGGAATCAACATGTGCTTGTTTAAGAGAAGCCATGGCTTGAGGGTTAAGAGCAGTGTTAGGCGGCAGAGCAAAAGCGGCGGAAGCATCACTGGTGAGAGTACCCAGTATCCACCATTAAATCCTTATACGTCCGTCCAAATGTACTATTTCCTCCGGCTTGCCTATGTGGCGGCGTAAACATTATGGTTCCAAATTGGATCTTAGATCAGGCTACCATCAGATATTGGTTCAGCCAAAACACATGTACAAAACATCTTTTAGAATACATCATGGCCACTATGAGTGGTTGGTCATGCCATTTGGATTGACAAATGGTCCTGCAACATTCCAGAGTTTAATGAATCACATCTTCTAACATGCCTTAAGAAAATGTCTTGGTGTTTTTTGATGATATATTGGTTTATAGCACCAATTGGATGGAACACTTAAGACATCTAGCGACAGTTCTCAAAGTATTACAAGATAATACCTTATTTGTCAAGCTATCCAAGTGCACATTTTGATTTAGAGAAATCAAGAAAAAATATAAATATTTATATAAGAGGTGCAAAAATCATTGGTCTGTTGTAACAAATTAACCTGTAGCCAAAGTTGTGATTGAACACTATCCCGTGATCCACCAGTAACTATCCCTCCCGCAACTGAAGTAGCCGGAACCTTTCCAAGAAGAGCAGGAATATTGGATGGAGCTGGCGTGCCCCAATAATCCATTCCTATATTTAGATTTGTTGCAGGACCAGTAACAGCTCCAGGAGTACCAGTCGCGGTGATAGGCATGATAGATAGAGTTTGATTAACCAGCGTATGAGGTGTATTGAGTCCCCCGTTTTGAGAAGTATGCGCTGAACTTCCATTTTGAGATGGTTCACCTGTAATACAATAGAAAAATTTACACTTCAACCTTTAACACGCATATAACATGAGTTTGCACTGCATATAGAATTAGATAGTAAAAATTAGAAACTATATTGGAACAACAGAAAGTAACAATGCCAAACCTTCGAAAGAATCCTGCCTGTCTCCAGATTTCAATTGAGAGCCCTATCAAAACAGAAAGACATTAGGAAATACTATCTACATTCCTAAATACAGGACTCTGTTGACTAATTCACATAAACTAAGAGAGTTGGTGGTAGTATTAAATTTGTTAACAATTGAAATTGTTCTTACAAGTTTACCTTTCAAGAGAGCGAATTAGTTTATATTTTTATCATAGTACTTGTTATTAATTATAGAAAAATATGTAAATGACCATCACAAAACTTATATTCTGAGAATTTGCATCACTTCCTTCACTAGTACCTTCAAAACTTCCACTTTCACCACTGCATATCCAAGATTTCCTATCAGCACAAATTGCTAGAATTTGCAAATGGCAAAATAAACTACTCAGCGGGCTAGGAAAAATAAATCACTGCCAGACTTAATGTTATATTTCTGATTACTGAAAGTGCAGTACAGCCGCAAGATTGATTAAATACAAAGCAAATCAAGTAACTGCATACAGGTCCTCCAAAGAAACTACGCCATAGAAAACTTCGGACTTATGAAAGATTTAGAAGTTGCTTACTGAATTTGCCTTTATGGTTGATAGGTTCTCCGATAACATTCATGATGCGTCCAAGGGTGGCCCTGCCAATGGGAATCTAAACAGAAAACAAGAATAAAGTAAATGTTAGTGACAAATAATTACACTTCTTCAATCTCTGAAATCTCTGAAATAACAATAAATAGAAGCAAGTGATTGGGAATTTACACTGATGGGAGAGCCGGTATTGAGCACACGCCATCCTCTAACAACACCTTCAGTAGCCTAGCAATAGTTCTAACAACACCCTGACCTAAATGTTGAGCAACCTCCAACACAATCTGTTGCGAGCCTTCAAGAACCTCAAGCGCGGCAAGGATCAGAGGCACTTCATCTTCGAATCTCACATCCACTACAGCACCAATGATTGCACAAATATGTCCAATGGCACCTTTCCCTGTATGTTCATTAGTAATCTTTCCATCGCCGCCGCAAACTTTCCTAACTGGAGGAGGAGCGGGAGATGCAGCGGCAGCCGTGGCGTATTCCGTTACACGATTGAGAAAGTAAGGGGAAGGAGACGGAGAAGGACGTGATTGAGAAGAGAGTCTCGATGTTGAGGCGGTGATGGAGGATTTGGATGGAGATGGACGGAGGGAAGTTCGTACCAAAGACAAAACCTTTTTTTCAATTTTTTTTAATTTTAATTTATAATTTATAATTGGTAATGTATAATCTCCATATAATATATATATATATATATATATATATATATATAAACATGTTTTTAATCTATAACTTATAATTTGTAATGTATTTATAATCTCTATAATAAGACAGAAAATATTTTATAATATATATAAACATTGTTACCAAAATTAATTTTAATAAAATTTAATTATTTATATAATAAAACAGAAAATATTTTATTATTATTTTCGACAAAAATATTAAACTACATTGTCATGAAAATTATAATAATTATTTATTAATTTAATTAATAAAATTGAAAAGGTTAGAAATATAAAAATGAAAGAAAAAAATAGAAAATTAAAGGAATAAAAAAAATAGTGATTATGATTGGCTAAAGTAATTGTGACAGTTCGCCTTAACTGTCGTGGGTGTGGAAATAGGGCGGTTCTTTGGTAATTGTCGCATTATTTTATACAACATGCCTAAAATATTTGCGACGGTTGGCTCAAACCGTCGTGAGAACGGTCGTAGTCCAAGAATAAGGACGATTTTTTGATAACTGTCGCAAAAAATCTACGACGGTTGATCCTAATTGTCGTGACAACCGTCGCAATGCAAGAATATGGACGATTTTGTGATAACTGTCGCAACTCAAGTGTCATAAATCTCATATTTTCTTGTAGTGAATCCCCCCCCCCCCCATTCCCCCTCATGCGCCGTTTTATCCCCTCTTCTTTCTCTCTACTGTATGTGCTTCGATCCGCCTCCTCTTGCGTATCTAGACTTCTTCTTCTCCGTTTGCTAACCTGCAGCCACATGAAAATCCAACCAAAAAAAAGTTGTCAAACTTCCTACCCAAAAATGGAGGATGTAAACGGCCGGCTTAGTAGTGGTGATGTTCGTGACTATTTCGGCGATGACGAGTTGTTTAGCTTTGAGCTTTGAGTCTCGGCGGTGGTGCTTTGGATCCACGATGCCTGGGTTGTCGGTGTTTCGCGAATGACTTGTGGGTTTGGAATTCGGAAATGATTTTTTGTTTAAGGTTTGCGATGATGATTAGAAACAATCTGAGCTTTACGCGATGATGATGTTTCTTAATCTGAGTTTTCTTTGTGGTGGCTTTTTTCGTCAAAATTTGTGATTCTTCTCCAGGTTTTATACCCCGGATTTGAGAACAATGCGTTGAAGTTCCTCTTTAAAACTTTTCCTTTTCTGATGATTTTTGTCCAGAATTATTTTAATGGTTTTGGGAAAAACTTAATTCTTTTCCTCTTCTGTATCAGACTGTCCGATTTCATTTTGGGAAAATAATTGGTTTTCTGATTTATATTAATGTGATGCTGATTTCGGAAAAAACGAATTTGGAAGGTTTTAATTGATTTTGGAAAATTCTAAACTTTTTCTCTTTCGTATCAGACTTGTTGCTGGATTTGGAAACATGGTTTTGATTTATCGGATTTGAAAAGAGCAGATCCTAATTGTTCTTGATGGCTTTGGTTCACGCTGTCCATGCTGTTTTCGAAACGGTGATGCTTTGGGTACTTTTGTTTTTTGGCCTTAATCTTGATGGTGACGTGACATTGTTGGAGTATAATTTAATTATTATTATCTCTTTAATGATGTCCAAATGCTTGAGTTAAC